TCATTTCTCATTCATAACACTTGCAAGTGAATTGCTAACAACCATTTTCCTGTTTCCACAGACTTAAATAGAGTAAAATTATGTTGGAATAACGCAAGTCTGCTTGTAGCCATAGGTCACATGGTCACCAAGTTAAGTGTCTACTCCACCTCAACTGCTCACTTAGTTACCCATGACATTTCTAATTGCCTTTAGCAATGGATTCCAGTTTTCATACAGTTATGGTCAAGATGAATATAGCTGCAAGACTAATAACCTCTGTGTAGCAGTTATTAGCAAGTCTAGATAGAATGCCTGAATGAATGAGAATACGAAACTGTTTATCATAGCCACTGATCAAGCTGCTCTCAAACATAATTACTTTCAGTTGCAGCTCTCAAACTTAATTATTTTCAGTTAATCACCAATAAGGAAATCAACTTGTAGGCCATAATTATTAGCTTTGTGTATTTTTCTTAAAATGTTCTTTTTAAGGAGAAAGAAAAAAAGAAAAGAAAAGAGAATCAGTTTCTATAAAGACACTATTTTTCTAGATTGAAACAGAGACCAATGTATTCTAAACTGTTAATATAAGAAAGAATAACATCATCCTAAAACTTTATAATACATATGTTAGAAACACGTGTGACGTGAATTCTGCCTATAATCTATATAATTGATTGGGGATTTACAATATTGTAAGTTGAATGCATTGAAACAACAATGTAAATAACTTTTACATTTCAGAATATCTGCATAATAAATTTGAGATTATCAATTCCACAAAACTAAATTGATTCATTCATTTTCTACAGCTTATTAGCCATTTGCAGGCTATTTAAAGCCAGAAAATATTTTTAGATTGTAAGAATTTTGTGGGGAGATAATAATGCATCTTACTAATTAACCCACAGTTGGGGGTAGAAGAGGTGGATTCATACCTTTCTGAAGGGTATTTGCACATAAATAAATATAACCAACCCAATGGGAATTGGAACACTGCTCTCTGATTACAATTCCCAGTCATTATCCCACTTGCACATCCAAACTTACAGCACCTGGTATTCACAAACGGTCACCCATCTCCCAAAACTAAAGTGCACATTATTTAAAAAGAATCAGTTTGAAGCAAAATATTTAATACATAGGATAGAAAATAGATAAACAATGATTTACAAGATTTTAGTTTAATCACAACTGTAAAAATATTGTTTATCAATTTTAAAATAACTAATTTAAGTTTATGAAATTAATAAGAAAAAAAGTATTAAGTTGCATGCAAATTATGAAAAGAATATGAGAGTTAATTACCACATGTTTTAGGATCACTTTATGCACTTTTAAAAAAGGTTCCAATAATGAAAGTAAATTTTTATCCACATAAAAAAAATAACACAATGTTTATGAATATTGAGGTAACACATTTCATAAAATGCACAGATACACAGCACTGATCCCAGCCAGAAGACAGATCACACAGTTACTCTGATCTTAGACAGAAGTGTCAATTCAACACATTATTGTTTTATGTTAGCTAGCATATGTATAATTAAAAAAGTAAAGTGTTTGACATTGATTCAATGAATAAATGTTAAGATTTCAAGTAGACCACTATAAATACAAACAGAAGTATCACAAATTTATGAACACCTACACAACCAATAGTCATACAACCAATATTGAGTGATTCAGAAAGGCTCGCTAAAAAACTGCAAGTAATTTCATCTACGCAACTAAAATAAAATTTAGTTTTTAAAAATACAGGTTTATGTTGCTAATAGTATTTATCATCAAATTTTAGTTAATGAAACTCAAAAATTCAATCAAGAAGCGAGATATAACAGAAAAGGCTATGCACTTCTTACAATACATCAACAAAGAAGATTAGAAGAAATTATAGTCTTTAACTTTAAGTGAAAACCTAAAAGACTGAAATTAGACATTATCTTCAGTTAATAATGCTCAAAAGTCAAAACAAAACCAAAGTAAACAAAAATGTTTGCGCCTTCCAGCTAATAAAAACTATATGTTGGTAAAAGTATTACAATCGTGAAAGCAAAGCTGTTTTGCATTTTATTTTAGAAATAAATAATTCTAAAAGAAATTGTTTTTTTTTTTTATAGATCTTAAAAGTTCATATAAAATTGTCCTTTTAAATACCTTTTTTAAGAACACATTTCATTTCAATTTTCATGATTATATGAATTAAAAAAAAAATAATTTCAGCTCAAGCAAGGCAATAAAGCCACTAGTGACTAAAAGCATAAGGTCAAGGGGTTACTGAGTAAAGGAGAAAGAACAATAAAAAAGAAAATTAAGAAAGAAATAATTTAAACGATTTAATGACCGATTCTGATGATGGACCAAGTAATTTGGAGCCCAATCAGCAATTCCACATAATTAATAAAACTTCAAAACATATTCCAACTAAAATTAATTTTTAGATTAAGATTAATTTTTTTCTTAACACTTTAATGTTTAATCATTTCATTTAGTAACCACAGTTTAGTAACATTTTAACTACAAAATCAGTTACAAATAGATAGAACGACCCAAACCCCAAATCATTGGTAACTTTTTTAGAAGTCAATAATTGTCAATTGGTGTTTTGTTTACTGTTTTTACAGTGTGTAATAGTGTGTATTGAGTTTTAAAAAGTTTTCAAAGACTGCTTGTGAATTTACGTTTAAACTTGAATCGCAAACTGAAAATATTACAGAAAAAAATAAAGTTAAATAGCTAATTAAAATAATTGAATAACTTTTTAATTTTTATTTATATTTGTTGACCGATTTTCTACATGAACGGCTAAAATTATGCACTGATGCAGAAATCTATTTGAATAAAATGTCAAAATTATGAATTTAAAAATATATAGGCATAAGGTCACAAAATTTTCCAATAAAAATATAAATAAACTTTAAAGGAAAGGCACTTAGTAATTTGAAGTTGAACTGGTGTTATCGAAATACAAAATATTTAAAAAGAAATATACATTTTCTGACTCAGATTATTACAAATTTTTTCAAATAACATGCGATGATAAATATTTTCTATTGATGAATTAATTAATCAAATAGTCACCACGATTGAAAAAAGCGCTTAAAATATCTTGTATATTACAGCAAAATATTCATAACAGATTTTGGGATATCTGTATTAAAAGAAAAGGAAAAACATAGCTGACTTTCTCTAAAACAAGTCAATTTTTAAACAAACCTCGCTGTAGTAAACAACTAACCATAAATGCATTTATAACAAGAGTATTAAAAGAATTAGAACCAAAAGATTTAAATTCTATCCCTAAAAAAAAAAAAAAAAAAAAGGTTACTAGTAGGGAAGTAAGCATAAGATGAGGAAATTAACGAAACGAAAAGATGCTATTTAGGATTTAAAAGCAATAAAAAGCCCATGTCAGTTTGAGTTAATCAACAATATGGCCACTACCAAAAAAAGAAATTAAGTTGGAATATAACAATGACACACGATAGACAACCTATCTCCCCCCAAAATAAAAAATAGTAATTAAAATTAAATTACTCCATTACTGCATAGTAAATAATAAATTTGGAATCTTTAACTAAAAGAATTAAAAAAATCTAAGGGTGATAAGATGAAGATAACGTAAGAAACATGGAGATGTGTGCAAAATGATAAAAAAGGCACACCTAGGATGTAAATTAATACGAAGCAATATAATAAAAATAAAATAAAAAAAAAAATCAAATCAAATTTGTATGTACAAAAATAAAATCAGCGCAGTGCCGTAGATTTACAGCCAAGAAAATATTTTTTTCCTCAAGAATAAGATTTTGGTTGTTTAATTTCAAAGACATCAAAGACTTAGGTAGTCACACTTTTTTGCAGTGAGAAACACTATACCTGAAAATTGAAATAAATAACTTTCTGATGGAAATGGCATTCATTCCATCACATTTATTTTATTTTTAGTTAAGAAATGAATTTCAGTCAGAATAAAAATTGAAAAGTTTAATTAAAAAAGAAATAATTCGGTCATTAATGTTTATGGCAATGCATTCAGTTTCTTAGAAAAAGAAGACTAAGAGTAAAAGACTTTAGAATTTAGTTGGGTAAAAAAAAATAATCATCAAATGGAAACCGATTGTTGTTATTAATTAATTAAAGAAAGTTCATTTGTCAATTTTTAAATGAAAAGTTTATTTCAGTGCTAATTTATGTACAAAAAAAATAATTCACTGCAAGTTTATGATGCAGCATTTTTAGTAGAGTGGAAGAAAGATTTTAAAACAGATTTATGTTTGTGAAAAATACTATTGAGAAAAAAGTCAAAAATAATTACAGAAAAGAAAGAAACCACGTTCCCGCCTATGATCATTCCATTCAATATTAGGAAAATTCCGATAGTGTGTTTAAACAAACAAATAAAAAAAATCATTAATCGCATATCAACGCTCAAATTATTATTGTAAAAGAAATTTAAGTTAGAAATAATAAAATACAAATTGCATAATAAAGAAATTCGGTTATTAAGACTAAAACATAAACTGTTGAATTCTAATAGTGTGATCAGTGATTATTTGTTTTTGTTTTTTAAGTAACAGTTTGAATTATTCGTAGTAGAACAGGTAAAAATAGATATTTAACAACTAAAGAGTTTGTTGCGTCGAAGCAATAACAAATGAAAGGAAAAAAATCGGGCCTAGAGATTCTATACTACGAACCAAAAGTGGGAGACGGTGAGTAGCAGGATTGAATTTGTTGGTTTAAAAAAAAAAAAGCATGAATGAAAGAAAATATCATTAAAAAAGAAAATGACCGACGAATTTTTTCAAAACAATTACCAAACCAATGATGATACTTCAAAATCAAATTACGAAAAACATTTAGTGAATAATTCTTGTACCGAATTGAAAGCGAAAATGACGGTTTGAGAAAGAAAGTAAAAAAAAGACCTAAGCTGAGAAGACCATAATCAAACCCGGTTTTGATTTACCAGAAACAAGAGAACACATGCATAGTAAAGAAATTCGATAACCTACTGATCTTTGAAGTTCCCCTAGCCATACAGATGCTTTTTCTTTGCCTCCAACGTCAGGGTTATTGTATAAGGCCTGTAGAGCCTGATGCACCGTCTCTAAAGGCGGTGGGTTCTCCATTTTTGTATTCTCTATTCAGAAAACACAAGAAGCAGCGGCCACTTTTTCGAGTTAGATTTTCTCCACACCGGATGTTCTAACAACTTCGTTTGTGCTACTTCCGGTACTACTCAGCACCAAACGACAAACACCTCGCTTCTGAATTATTCTTCTACATGTTTTTCATCAATAAATCACTTTAGAGAGTTTGTTTTTTGGGGTTTTTTTTATGTATATCCTTGTATCATGATGATAGTTTTATTCGGTTAGAGCAGAAGTATTTATTTCTCCTTACGACTACAAAATGTAAAAAAGTGAGCTTTTTTTCATTCAGTAACCTAACCACAAGGGAATTTTAAGTCTTAAATGGCATTTAATATGAAGGGTCGCGATAGCTTTTTCAAATGCACTACTGTATTTTAAATTAAATATAAAGAATAATACTAATTATTATTATACTTAAAATGATGAAATATATTTTTGTAAACAACAGTGTCGCAACAAATATAATAGGTCATAAATGCAAGAAGGTCAGGGATGTCATAACAGAGGTCACTTCCTTTCAGTTCTTGGACGGAGGTGGTTGTTTGTTTCTGCTATTTTTAATGATTGTAAAGAAATTTACCATTAATATCGATTTTTCTGGTCGCTTAAAAAAGAAGTATTAAACAATATGGATGCAGATGGTTTGCCTCTGGTCGGTCCAGGGATAGACTATACAAAGGTAAAATTGTTTATTGAAAAATTGTTGTTATGGGCGTATCTTCAGCTGACCAAACGAATTGAGTAGTTAACACCTGATGGAAAATTATTGTTTATCGTTGACGTTACGTTGTTTACGCTTTTTTAAATAAAGAAATTAACATCAAAAATGCTCTCAGATGCTTTTTAAAGATAAGATAAAATTGCGTTCTCTTATTTAGACTTCCGCATTTAGTTTTTTTTTTGTAGCCATGTGATTTTTATTATTTTTATTTTTTTTAAATCTCTATGAACATATAAAACTGAACAAAGCATTCATCATGTTTTTTACTCGTTTTTAGTGCTGACATTAAATTATTAAAATTAAATTATCCAGAAAATATGTTATCATTTTATTTTTTATCTCTTAAAAAGTTTTAAGCTAAAACTTTTTTTTACTGAAGTGAACATCCGCTTTAAAAAGTCTTCTTAAGGTTTTAATTAAAAATGTATTGTTTGTAATATTGTAAAAAGAAAGCTTGTCAAAATTTAATAATGATTGATTCTTTATTTATTAATCGATTTAAAAATCTCGGTTTATCAAAACTTACAGATAAACTGGTGGGGTTAAAAAAATATTTAAAAAAAATACTTTTAAGTTTAAAATAAAATTTTTAAAATCTTTTTTTTTTTTTTTTTTAATAACTTTTGTCTGAGTGTAGTTTCGTAACTATTAAAAATCGGTTCATTTAGACAGAGAAATTCTCCCAGATACGAAGAGTTTTCGTACTTTTTTTTTTAAGTCTTGGAGTCACGAGAGAGAAAAAAACGCTTGTTGCCGGCCATAAAAAAATGATTTCAAATTTTTACTTGACATGATGATTTTTAAAATAATTTTTACTTTTTTTTTTCTGTTTGTCAGTTTCGCTAAACTCTTCAGAAGATACAACCAAAAATATGCATGAAATTGCCGATTTTTTAATTTTTTTTATTCCCCTCCACCCAGTACAAAAAAACACAATAATAAAAAAATGAATTACATCAAGAAATAAAATAAAAAGATCAAAATAAATTTTATCCTATCAAATCAATAAATTTTAAATCAAAAGTTACAAATGATTAAATATATTTTTCTAAAATAGTTTTATTAAAAATAAAATTGTATCGATCATCAAGAAACTAAAGCAGAAAGCTTAGCTTAGTACGACACAAGATCACAAGTATGGAGCACTCGGATTCAAACACAGTAAAGGTCAAGCGAGACTAGTCTTTAAACTTCTAAAAAATCAGTTTGCATCAAGCAAAAAAAAAAAAAAACAGTTTGAAGAACACTGTTTAGAATTGAGTTTTTGAAAGAGAAACTTGAAGTTGAAAGTGAAAAATGAAATGATTTTATTTTTATTATTTTTAATTTATCATTCCGCACTGTTTTTAATTTCAAAGTATGTACTTTAAATCATGTTGACAATAGCATGCTACAATACATCCGTTTTTTTACCATATGGATCATTTGTTCATAAAAGCATCGAAAGTTGCAATTGAAATTTCACTAAATGTCATAAACAATATGCAAACAATTCTGAATTCGAAACTAAAAAAAAAAAAAAAAAATTGTAAAAAATAAAATTAATTTACTGTTTTCATTTTTGTTGTTTTTATCAACGTTTCGACCATTGTACTCTCCGAACTATCTCATGGACAGTGGAATGAGAAAAGTCTATCCCTGTAGTGTAGAGTGTAGATTAAAGGGTTCAGTTCAGAATTCCCTGTAGGTTACCTAGTTCAATATACATCTGAGGGTGTCCGGAGGGATCAACGGCCGAAACGCTGGGATAACAACAAAGATGAGGACAATAATGTAAATAGTAACTCCTCATCACAGAAATTAAGTTAAAATATTGTTTAGAAAAATTGATGAAAGAGAAATTTCCCTGAATAGTTATAAAGTAGAAAAATAAGTAACCAGAAAAATATATTTTTGTTCTGAATCCAGAAGGAAATATTATTCTTGAAACTTTATGAAGTTGATTGACAAACTACACACTTCAAGAAACCTCAATGAATAATTTCTCTCTATGCTAGTCAAGTAGACGATGGTCCAAAAATACAAGGAAAGCTAAGAATAATAATTAATAATTGGCATATTCAATTAAAATCTAAAGTGTGTGGGGTGAATGTTAACAATTTTAATAGAGATTTTAATTTTTCCTCAATGAAATATGGATCATTTACAACTTCTTAAAGAGTTAGTTTTAGTGTTAAATTCTAAGAAGACAATTTTAACAACTGCACAAGTTGTTCAAATTTCTGAGATAATGCATTCATTTAATTATTTTTAGGAAATTAGAGCCAGCAAAATGAAGGCCTTAAGTCATCAGTGGGGCCTGGATAAAATGGGAAAACATAGAAAAAAAGGAAGATTTCCTGGTCAAATGTTTGGTATGCCAATCCCAGAAACATAAGTTTCCTTGTGCAGGCAGTATTACTTGAATGAGTCTCCACTTTGTCCTTTGTATCTCAAGAGGAGATCACTCCGGCACCTATTGAGTGATTACCTGAAAGCATCAAGCATGGGGCATTACTGGTGGTGCCATGATAAAGTTTTAAGAGGAATTGCAGCACTAATCTCCAGGAATCTCTAAACAAACAGATATGAACCTAGAAAGAAACTGAAGAATTTCATCAGAGCAGGGCAAAAGGTAAAGATATTACAGAGGAAGAAAACTTCAATCCTTGGTTCTACCTCAAACTAGCAAATGAACAGGCAGTTGAAATTCCCAGAGCAAATTTATTTATTCAGATAAAACCATACAAATCATCATGTTAGAATTAAGTCCCTCAGGAAGTATTCATGGTATCAACCATATAATTCTGTTACACAGAATGTAGTAGTTTGGCTGGTGGGGAAGCTGAAGAAATTGTTATTTCAAAGTATTTAAGAATGGAGTTTGTATAAAATATTTGTCTTTGTTATCTTTTTGAACTTACATTTATTATCAGTATTATTATCTGTGTGTTTGTAAATATGACCATGTTTGGCCTTTCCACCTAGGATCATAGTGTTGTATCTGTTTGATGCTTGGACATTCTGAGTTAGAATCACTTTCCACCAAAAAACTTACATAATACTAAGTGGGAAGGAATTGGGAAAAAGTAAGAAAGAGTGAAGAAAAAATGTGTAAGATGAAAGGTAGAAAGTAAAAAAGCTAAAGATAATAGAAAAAAAAAGAAACTAGTGAAAGGAAAAAATAGATAGGAAGAGAAAAAAAAGGTTGCAGGTTGGATATCAAGAGACAATGAGCATAAAGATTAAAAGTCAGGTGGAAATGGAAACATAAAATTATAATCCATTAAAATTTGTTATGTAAAAGAACAAAAGAAAGGATACAGTCAAAAAAAATGTGTGTGTTCATTATTACTTTTTCACACATGAAATTAATCCATGTTTTTATAACATTTACAGATGTGTGGGTGGTGTAATGGAGAGCCGAGTTCAAATTCCAGTCAAATTTGTTACATTCATTACACACACATACTCTTGGGAAAGGTATGAATCCATCATCCCCCCTCAGCTATGGGTTAGAAAAAAATCATTGTTATTTCAAAAAATTGTTAATGCAATATTCATTCTCCACCAAAAAAAAAAAAAAAATTCTTAAAATTCCAAAAATGTTTTGGTTTTAAATAACCCACAAAGGATTGATAAGATGTAAAATCAAACCAAACCAAATCTATCAGAGATAAATCAATCAATAATCTATCAGAGATATAAATCTATCAGAGATAAATCAATCAGTAATAACATTTACAGAAAAAACATTGGCAGGCAACATAAGATGAATAAGGGAGAGAATGTGAAGGTCCCGGCAAAAGGTCTGAGAAAAGCAAAAGCTTGAGATAAACAATAATCTTAGTTGTCAACACCTGCGAATTTCCATGGGTCTGTCTAGTTCTTACTATAAAATGAGTTATCTGCCCTTCCAATACTTGTTAGCAAATTCCTGGTCATTTGGAAGTAGGGATTACTAATACATATATACCTAGTTCCTGGAGATCAGTCTCCAAACCGGTATCTCTATCAGAAGGTAGTCAATTGGTATATCCTAACATCTGTAGTAACAGCCAGTAGGATTGGATCATTTTTTTGCCACTGTCCACACACAGATATATACATATGAATCCTACATTAACTGATCCAGGTATCATATACTTACTTGGTACAGGTTTTGCCAAGAGTGTCTGAGGCATCTCCATAGAAGAAGTTTTCAGGGGGTCTGAGCAGTTTTGACCATTGGTCTTATGTATGTGCAGACTCCCACGACAAACCCAACCTTGTGTCATATTTTGTACAAATATTATGTAAAATAAATACTACCTAAGCATCACATTAACACTCATAGAGAGGTAAATAGATACATACTTATAAAATATTTCTATTACCATCTAAATATCTTTTCTCTAATAATATTTCTTTTATTATAAACTTGGTTTCATTGCTTCCTCTTTACCTTAGCTTTTGTGCCATTTCGACTTCAGCTCCATTTCCCTGTCATATTGTCTCCAATCTAGGTTTGTAATTTTAGCTTGAATCCATACTTTGCAACATAGCCCAACTATCATCTTAAGTCCTTGTCCTATAGCCCATTTCTGCTTATTCAAATTTAAATTAAGCAATTGTATGATTCTTTTAACCTTTATGATTGTATGATCCACCATCATATATTTCTTTTTCCTAGTGTGAAGCCATCTACCAGAAGCGAACATTGGCATTTCTTAACCATTTTGTGACACACACTGTACGTTTCTTGAATAAATTTTCTGGAGTATGTGAAGAGAAGTTAGAAAGCTTGTCTTATCGTATTCAGCGATTGGAGATAATGATGAACATTCTTGAAGCCAAAGTAAGTCCTTTTGTATTTATTTTTTTAAATATATATATATTGAATTTCTTTATTCCTTAAATGTTTATTAACTCTTTAAGTATATGATTAGCATATAAAAATTTTTACAAATGTACATTACTATATGAGACCTATCCAGAGAATATTTAGCTATTTTGAATATCTTGAGAACCGAGTACCTTTAAGTTTCAAATTGATGTGCTGAAACAATTATTAAATCTGCCCAAAGCCATCCTTATTCCATCCACGCCTTTTATTAAATATTTAGAAAATTTCCTCTCATTTCTCATTCCTTTGAATATTTATTAAAGGAGGTGGTTGAAATTTTAAGGATGTCTCAAGTGTTTGGTTTTTTCTCTCTCAAAAACAGAATAATCACCTATTTAAAACTGAAAGGTGTGAAACCTTAATGTAACTTGGCAACCAGTCACTTGCTCATTTAATCCTTACTCCGTGTTGAGTTGCACTTGAGGTGATGATGAGAGAAAGCCATATCACTTTGTCAGCAAACAGTTTTACACCAGGTTTCCTTGGGTCTGCTGTGGTTTCTTCTGCAGTATGCAATGGAGGGTTGTTGAGGCATTTCTTCATACAAGTCTGTGCCATCTCCACTGTCATCTCTGAACAATAACCACAATAGTCCCTAAATTGCTTCAGCATCTAAGCTCTTCATTAGGGGTTGTTTTGTGGCAGAAACACTTGAATTTGATCTGAAACACTCCAACGTTTGTTTGGTCATCTTTCAGCACTCTGATGTATACAGAAGCATCCTTGGCAACCAATCCTTTCCATGCAGTTGATAGTGAAATACCATTAAGTGAGCTTGTATACTTTGTGACTGTCAGATTTGCAATGACTAAGTGAGTAGATTCTTCATGTTTCAAACTGGATTTTTTGCAAAACATTGCTTTAGCCAAGTCTTTCAGTTCTTACTGTGACTTATGTTTTTCCACAAAACTAAAATCCATGATGAAACACAATGGCCAAGATTAAGAATATAATAATGAAGATAAGTTGAAAGGATGATGGGATCTGTTTCAAGGTGACTAAGGTATCATTGCCCTAGGTAGGCTGTTTTTTCATTAACATTCAACATTAAAAAAAATTCCTGCATTCCTTAACAGGTTTATGCTTACTCCAACCTAGTTTATGATTATTAAAATCAACAATTTTACATGACAGTCACTCTTAAAACAAGGTTAGAGCAATAAGTGCATAACCTGAGGTTTATTAGCTCAATTTTGATCTGAATTTTTCATTGTATAATATTTGTGCTATGTGTTTTAATAAATCAGTATTAGGTTAAGTGTATTGACAAGGAATGAAATATCCCTATAAATGGGTAGTGGAATGAAAACAAGTCTACTCCCAGAGATTAAATTAAGAGTTCAGTTTGACATTCCCTGAAGGTTACCTTGATTGACAAGCACCTGATAAATGTTAGAGAGCATAGTGGACAAAACATGATACCGACAATAGTCTACATGTAAATGATGATAACTTCGCATCCCAGAAGTTCCAACAGAATGAGATTAGGTTGAAAGATAAATATGTTTTGTGAAATAAATGCTTTTCTCATTATTAATCTATAGATTTACTGATGTACCTGTGTAAATTACTTATTATTTCACTTGTATATAGAAGTATGTTCTAATGATGATTCTGCAATTTATTGTAAAGGCTGAACATTCAAATTCAAAGAAAGACTTATGTATCACTAATATAATTATTAGTGTTCATACCAAAAGCAATATTGTATGCAAATTAGTATAAAAAGTTTCTGGACTAGGACCAGATTAGCGGTTTAACAAAGGAACACCAAAAAATTCTCATCAGACAGTTTATGTTACATGAAGTGGTATTGAGTAAGTATAAATGATGCTCTCAAAAAATAATGGTCATAGTCTCTGATGATGAAGAAGGTTGTCAGAAAATTGATTTTTTTTGCATATATATATATATATATATATATATATATATATATGTCTTAGTATGTGATTCATGACAGGAAATACCAGATGGTATCAACTAAATTTAATGTCAATAAGTAAGCTTTGTTCTTGAAGAGATTGATATGATGATCTCAATATGTACTAGACTCACCCTAGGAGATATGAAAGTAGGCTTTGCACTTAGTGTCACACCAGTGCATCTAAAGAGCCAGGGGCATCAGAAGGTTAACCTAGAAGGTAACTTTATAGGCACTAGATTCAGAATTGGGCCACAAATTATGTCAGTAGCTGCTGTGACATGTAAACAGGATGTCAACCCAGCTGAATTTAGGATATACACATGCAGGAGAACTGGATTATAGGAAGCTATATAAACGACCCGTTCAAGAGAGAGATGTCAGTCTCTCACATACTTGCAAGAAGATCAACATTCGAAGAAAGTCTCTAAAACCATACACCTTCATACCAAAAGTAAATAAACAATAATCTTACACATGAAAAATTTAGTCGTATGCATATTAGTCTTTTTACTAATATTCAGGTGTGAAACTATATATTTGTAATATCACATGACTAACATTAATTTAAAAAAAAAATGGCACAGTTGATATCTACACTCAGTTGAAAATTTTAGCATTGAAGAGCTAAAAATCAGCTTAAATGAGCTCTAAATAAACATAATACCAAATCTCAAAATTTCTTGTAAAAAATAATTTTTGGTAAATGGATGTGTATCTACTTATGTTGATGCTAAGTGAAAAAGAATTTAAAAAAAAACAATGCAATATATGAAGTCCAAAAGAGAAAATATTAGCTTAGAACAATTTGTAAAATACAAGTTCAATGGAAAGTGTCATTAGACCTCAGTTTATTACTTTTGTTACCTAGGATCACTTTTTTTTAATAATATCTCTATTACAAAGCTCTAGAATAGCAGAGAACTACACTGGTTGTAGAAAGACAACAAAACCATGACTGAAAATAGGTTTTATTTTTCTCTTTTATTCTTGAAAAATTATTCAAATTGGTTTGTTTCTTTCTGGATAAATTACTAAGCTTTCTCTTTATGGCAGATTACACAATTGCTGTTTGGTAATTATTCTAGTTAGAATGGATGTGTTGATAGTCATGCAGAGAATAAAAATAGCGTTTTACTTATTACAATAGCAATATCTTTTCTAATTAATTTTATATGATTCTGCTTAACTTCCTGTATAATATTAAAGATAATGCTTATAAAATCAGCACTTACAAGACCATGAAGCATCAAATGGCATGCTTAGGTTTCTAATGCAATAGCACTTTCTATACCAAATATTCTCATCATTCACATCTTCTGCAGACAAAATGAAAGGGAACATGTTATCAGAATGTTAGATTAGGTTATTTATAGAGAACTGCAAATAGGACACAATGTGATTGAAAATCAGTAGAAGCACTTTGAAGATACAGTTTGTAAAATTACCACAGAAGTTTACAATAATGAGTTACAAATATTAGCACCACCTCTTCAACAATATGGCATAAAAGCCAAGAAAGTGTTTTTGGAAAAGGTAATCAAAGAACCTCTGTTGGTATTTAAATAAAAAATTCTTCATATACTTGAGTGAGAAACATTTCTATACAAAAATTGGAGTTCACATTGAAATACTAGCATTTACTGTTGTAAAAAATGTCCAAATTTTTATAATTTTTTTTATAATTTAAATGGCTGAATTTCCTATTTAATCTTCCTTACAGTTGAATTTCTTTTCGTCCATTTTTTTTTAATGGCCATTTTTACTTAGTTACTTGCTAAGCATAAAAACTGTAATATTACAGCTTTCATCCATTCCTGGTTTAGAAAATGTCACAGTTCCAACTACAGATTCATCAATTGCTTCCCAATCTCCTGCCGGAACCAGTCAGAGTTCAGCTGCTGCTCCAGCAGCAGCAGCACAGGTCAGTACAAAATTATGGGTTTCATAAATTTATCTCTGCTGACTTCATATAATTATGTATTTATAAGAAGATATTTTCTTTAAATAATAATATACTTTGAAAATATTTAGAAGAGAAATTTTATAGAGCAATTATCTTGTTAGATTTCATAAATTTTGTTAATAGCAAAAAGGAAGTTCAGTGATTATTTCAACTTGTTAATTACAGAAATTAAAAACTCTTTGGATAGACTTGTTATTTTATATGATATATGAATTTTTATTTTTCCTTCTTTCCACATTTGCCCAGGCTTAAAAAGTAACATCAGTTTTAAGTTATTCTCATCTGGGAGTTAAACAGAAATTTAGTTAATACATCACTATGTATGTCATTTCAAGAGGAAGATAACGTGAAGACCAAAATAGTTATTTTATTTTCATTTTGCCAAGGATTACTTTCAAATGACTACAACTAAATTAGAGATGTACAACTTTTGCCCTCTTCTATGCATTATTATGCCAGCTGGTGTATAAACCATACAGCAATAATTATTACACTGCTAGAGAGTTAGTTCTTTACTTGTACTCTATATTAGCCTTGTTTCAAAGCTGATTTTATTTGTTGTTCTAGATGCAATGTTCAAAATTAATCTCTATTTCCAAAACCATAAATTATTGTTAAATTTAAAGCACTTCTCATATAAAAATTTGATATTTTTATTTTCTGACACATGCTTGAATTTTGGTTAAAAAAAATTGAACTATTTATCTTTTAGTATTTTTGTACAGAAAATCTCTCAAGGAATGCCTATTTTTATTCATATTAAAAACCACAAGGGATTTTTTTTATACAAGTATAAGTATTTATCTTAAACAGATACATACATACAATTGCTTATGCTTCTTGGTTTACTTCAATTTTCATTTAGGAGAGTGAAACTTCTACACCTAAATCAGAACCAACCACTCCCGGAACAGCAGCTACAACTCCTTCTGCTTCAAGTGAAAAGCCCAAAGTGACAGTTTCCCAGGACCCAAAATATGCAAAATATTTCAAAATGTTGAGTGTGGTATGCATACCATTGAACATTTACTAAAATTATATAATTATAACAAGCGAAAAAAAAAAAAATTCAATATTTTTTTTTCCCCTAAAACTTTTACATGTCCACATTAACTAAGTTTAATTTCTTTTCCTTGTTATTATATGGACAAAACAAATTACAATGCTTTTAATATAATTTTTATGCAAAAAGTATCCAAAACTTAAATCCTCTATTTTAAAACTATTTGAATATTAAAAACGATGAATAGTATTGGATTCAATATCAAGTTCTGAATTTAGTTTCGTTTGTCTTTTAGCTTTATTAAAATGTACAACTAAATACAATTTCATTCACTTGTGTTTTAATATGAAAGGATTTTTAGTGTTACATTATTTTGATGAAAATGTTCTTAAAGTTGAAAAGAATGTCGGTGGTTATCTTCTGTTTTCATAATTCCTGTTCTTTATTGTTCTCTCTCCTTAATGTTTTCCTTTTCTCATATTCTCTCACTCATTAACCTCTTGCATCTTAGTGGATTTATGTCCTTACTTGGGATGAAATAAAAAAAATTATATTATCAAGAAAAACTGTTACAAAATGATAAATACCGAATCAAAGAAATTTGCACCAAAATTATTGCCTCTAAATTGGTCAACAGCTAATGATCAATAGTTTTTTTTTTACTTGCATAACTTAGTTTAAGGTACCTCTGTGAAAATGCTAAAAATCAGCATACCATGATGAAAATCTTTATTATTAAGAGGAAGGATCAAAGTACTTTTTGATTATTTAATTAAATTTTTTACTCCTTTGTAGAACATTTGAAATTTTGATTAAAAATCTCGTTTTTCTTCTGTCAGTAGTTGTACTAACTTTTTGCATAGAAAATTTTAGCCTCTTTTTGCAGTGACACTTATTAATTTGGAAATTCTTACAAAAATCAAATAATTGTCAGATTTTAATGAAACTTTCAAGACTTATTCACAAACAAATGAAATTATTTTTGAAAGTTTTTTTTCTTGGTAAAAATAGTTTTTTTTTGTTTTTATTTTTTTTTTACATGCATTTCAGCCCCTAAGTTAATTTTATGAAAACTCAAGAAATTCAACAGAACTTTTAGTGACTATATACTATAACTAGTATTGAAAAATAAAAAATGCAATAAAAGTAAGACATTATTTAATTATAGAAGCTTTTAATTACTTTTATGAATAATATATATTAAAGACAATATTGTCTGAAGAAAAAAAATTTTTTTTTGATGAAAAATGAATTTTTACAAGATTTTTTTTTTTTTATTTTTGTAATTTTAAATTGAATAATTTATAAAGATTTTAAATCTTTTAAAATTCATTTTCAATGTAATAATTCTTAGGAAATATTGTTATTAAGTAAAACTATATTAACTAATCATATATTGTAAAGCTTTTTACAATCTGACAACCCTGAATATTTTTAAAAGAATCTTGATTTGTTTTTGTATGTGTGTTTACATGCAGAATTTCTGAAGTATGAATGAAACTATCATTAAAAAATCACGTTTTAAGAGTTGTCCCCCACTTATAAACTTTATTGTCTGCTCCACCATACTTAACTATGAACACATTCGGCTGTCAATAAATCAATTAACAGATGAGAAAAACAAGTTAAATGTTTGTATACAACATTTTATGTTATATTTGTTTCAAATCAGATTAATTTAACTTTAAATTTGCTAATTTTCCTCAAATAACGCTTCAGAAATATTTTATTTTTGCAAGATTTTTAAAACTGAGAATTAACTTTTGTTTACAAATGTGTCAAAAATGTCTGATTTTCATCGATTTTACAGAAAAAAAAATGATTCCAATCAATATAATTTCTGTATCTATCTATATTTCTGAGATGAGGTATTATGTACACTATTTACATTATTCAGACTATTGCACTCATCTTTGCTGCCACATTTATTACAACGTTTCGGCTGCTGTACGCTCCAGCCTTCTTCAGGTTGTTGGAATGTCGAACTGAACCCTTTATTTCGCTCAGTGGGGTAGACTGTTCTAGTTCCACGTGCCATCTTTAATGGATGTCAGTTATCAGTTATCTCCTGTTAATTCCCCTTTGCAAGTTCTCCACTGCCTTCAATACACGGTTAAGGCAATAAACTCTCACTCTTTGAGTCCTGTCACTGGATCTAGCCAACCCCTTTATCCACTGTGCCATGTGTCAGGACACATGGCACAGTGAATAAAGGCGTGACATCCATTATATATAATACATGGAACTAGAACAGTCTACCCCAGTGAGCAAAATAAAGGGTTCAGTTCAATATTCCAACAACCTGAAGAATGTCGGAGTGTACAGCGGCTGAAACGTAATAAATATGGTAACAAATATGAGGACAATAATCCGAATAATGTAAATAGTGAATATAATTTCTGTGTGAAATACACCAGAGTATTTTGCTTACTGGAAATAGTAAATTTAATCCTTATAGCTTTCAATTAAAGCTAAAATAAAAGCTTTTTCATTTTTAAAAATTCATTTTAAACCTTATGTATAGCAAATTAGTGGAGATACCTGGTTTAAAATGTCTTTATAATAACATAAAAATATTGCAGGTGCTGAATAAACAAACTGTATGTTTTAGACTGTACTTAAAGACCCTTTGTTAATCTTAAAAAAAAAAAATACCATCAGTAATATGATTTGTAGCTATCTTGGAATAGTGACTTTGTTTTTTCTCTTACATGTCTTTCAATATCCTATCAATTAGAAGGAAACTTCAAACCTTTTGACAGTTGCTGTCAAAATAACACTTTTTTTTTTTCTTTTTTAAAATTAATTTTTTTTTTCTCAAGGGAGTTCCTGAACCAGCTGTTAAACTCAAAATGCAACAAGAAGGACTGGATCCAAACCTGTTAAAGTAAGTTTCTTTTGGATTCTTTTATTCAGTTAAATAATTTATACTACTTTTTCACTTCTACATCTATTGTTTTAAAATAGTAAACTTTTATTGTAAGATTTTCCTTTCAGAAACTACTTAGTTTAGTCTGACACAAGGCATCAGTAGTGGGGCACTTCATATAGAATCAAACACACTATACTTACAAAAGAGAGAAATGAGGTTGCTAACTTGTTAGTTCATTCTAACCAAACCAGTGAGTTGAGGCAAGTGCATCCTCATTGGCAAAAATAAACATGTATCTCAAGAACTGAAGGGTTTTTTGTTTATTAAATTCTGAAATAAAAGGGAAACACTCACATAAAAGCGAATGGATAGGTTATGATTGATTGCACATTATTATACACTGATTTTCTTGGACTAGTATTCTTATCTTGGTTGTTATAGTCACATTTCAGCTGTTATACCCTATGGTCTTTTTCAGGTATCTGCCATAACTGGTAATCTACTGGAAATTTTGGACCAAACATGTCATTCTATCCATGAGTAGATTTTTCTTAATTGAAAGCTGCCATATTTAAAAAAACAAAATCATTGGACTCAAATTCTACCACCAATGTAAACAAGTTTACATAACTGGATTGATCTAAGGGATAAATGTGCTGACTAGTTACCTAACAGATGTGAATTCAGTATTGAGGTTGAATAGTGCAATAAATTATAATAATAACTGAAGAATTAATCAATATGGGGTTGTCTTAATTTTTCATTGTTCTCTCACACCCTCTGCATCTTAGTGGCTTTATTGCCTTGCTTGGAATTAAATGATAAAAAAAAGGAGATATCCCCTCACAAGGAGAACAGAATGGGAGCAATTGTATAATAAATCCACATCTCAGTAAATGACATTCATTTAGCAAATTCCATGATAATTTATTTAAATCCATGACTACTTGAGTCACACCTGACTACTTTCAGATTCTGATTTAATATTTTGCAGAACAAGAAACTGAAGTGTTAATTTTTTTTTTAATCCAGAATTCCATGTTATATACAGAAATTATTATTACATTTTTGTTTGCTTTCTCTCTTTTTAGCAATCCCAATGCTCCTGTTCCTGATAGTGGATCAAATAAACAAGACAAAACTGAAGATGATTTTAGTGACTCAATGAGTTCAGAAGATAACAGTGATGATGATGACGACGACTTCAGCAACTAGAAAAATCATTATGAATATTCTGTTCCTAAATTTCTAATTGAAGTGTCACCAGGACAACATCTTCAATGTTGGAAGCTGCAAACAGATGAAGGGGATAAGCCACACTCCAGGAAAAGCTCTTGATGCAAAGATTATGAACAACAATTTTTAAAATCATTCCCAGTGCCTCACTATTTCAAGAGTTGGCAATTTTTTTTTTTTTTTTTTTTGCCTACCTGCCAACAACTACATATCATATTGCCAAAGATTCCTGTTACTGAGATGCAGGATTACGGTCGAGTGGGTGTAGCCATGTACACATGCGATCATAATATTAATTCAGCTACCCAACTTTTTATTTACTAAACAATGTTCCCTCTTCACTCATTAAACCAATCACCAATATTCTCCGAGATTTTATGGAAGTGGCAAAAATAAATATATTTTCTCGATATTATCAAAATTAAAAAAAAATTGTAATACTTTGTAAATTTACTTGAGCTTATTTTCAGAAATTCAAATTTTTCTAGTTTGAAATGTTTCAAGCTAATTTTGCTTGTTGCATTTCTCAGCAAAGATTAATTGGCTGTTATTGTATTCAAATCATAAGTTACATTTAGAGACACATTTTAATTTATTTTTTGTTTTATATTTCCTGAAATTATTAAAATTGTTAGCTCAGCTTGTTTTTTTTTGATAAGGAAGACAAAATAGTTTTTCATGAATTTTTCTTCAGTCTAATTAAACATTTGTGTAAAATATTCACACTCCAAATTGAAAGAAAAAGTAAATATGCTTTTTATCATATAATATTCAAGGAGAGATTAAATATAAGAGTATAACCCTGAAAATTATAATTTCTAAATTCTCTAGTTGTGGATCTACAAGTGAAATGAAATTGTGGTATAAAAGTTGTTCAGCAATAATGAATGAATGAATTTAAAATTTTCATGTTGATGCAAGCATTAAATAACAAGAGGATACTTGTTTCATCATTTTACAACTGTAAGATAATTTTTTAAAAGTCTTACAATATTACAAAAAAGAATTTCAAATGACATTTCAACAAAATCTATGAATATTTATGGCTAGCTATGTTAAATTTTGATAAAGAAAAATATACTTGACAAATGAAAGCATGAAGCTTTGTTTCATTGCTGGAGTACAATAAGAAAAATGTATTTATTAGTCAACATTTTTGTTAGTTCTTATATCTTCCTTTCATTGATTGGTTTATAAAATTTATTTTGAAAGGTTGAATTTATTCTTTTGTCGTCATTAAAATACATTCCCACATTTGCATTCTTATGAAATTAATTCAAAATTCAAATGTATAAAAAATTCAGTAAAGGAAACTGAACACTTCAATAAAAAGTCAACATCCATTTATTCGATGAGAATTTCAAATCATCCAAGTTTTACCACTTCAGAAGTGAGTAAGCCACAATGTGATTGGACAGTGGGCACCATGTCTATTTACATATAGACAGTCGAAATGAATTTAAGACTGCTGCAAACATTTGCTGAATTGTCTGAAGTGACAGTCAACAGGACTTAGCAGCCAGGGAAAACTGAACTTTTTGGCAAAAGGATTCTGGATTTCAGCTTCAGTAAACAAATTTACAGAAAAAAAAAAGCATTAAAATGTATTACTTTTATAAAGTATCAATGTTCAGACTAATACTGAAAAAGTGTGTGTGAAGATTAAATTCTTTTAAAAAAATACTGTATAAAATAAAAGCAAGATAAATGAGTTTTGTTTAAATCAGCTATACAAAAAAAATACATTGAAACTGTTGACATACCAGCTTTCCTTATTGATAATTATTTGTTACATGTATATAATATGCACATGCACTTAATAAATTTCTTATCAGTTCAAACAGCTATTAAAAACTAAAAAATGCACACATTTCAACAAGTATCCCTATTCAGCTGAAAATGTACTGTTTTATAAAGAGCATGGAATTTGAAATTACAATTTCTAATGGACAAAAAACTGCCAATTTGCACACTATGAAAATGAATAAAGTTTACCTTAAGAGTATAAGAAAATGAAAATACTGGCTTATATATTTTAAGTGGAATTTATATAAAATTAAAAAATATCCACTTGACAAATAGGAAGCAAAAATACTAATATTGATATTGCTTAGATGATTAAAAAAATAGCAGCATGAATTCTTGCCTATTTGTGAAGCCAAATATTAAAAGTTATCCTGACATTTAGCAAATGACAACATTTACTAAGATTGTCCATTTTTACTCATTCACAATGCTACTTTCTTGATCTTAGAAATTTCAGCAGAAAGAAAGTTGGTTTTCAAACATGGAATTCTTTTCAAAAGTATAAATTGTTTGAAATCAAACTTTACATTTAAAAATCAAAAATGTAACTTTTGTACTACTAAGCACATCTTCTAATGCCAATAGGACATTTCTAAAGGTTAGTTGAAATAATGGAAACAGATTTTGGAGCTCAGAAATACAGAATCCACTGCCTTCAATGGCATTTTATGACTTCAAAAGAAATGAGCTTAAAAGAAAAAAAAATGATGTATGTACACAGTCACACATTCAAATAATGAGTGATCAAATAAAAGTGCTAGAAATCAACAAGTTCTGATGATTAAAAATTGGATGGAAAAAAAGTAAGATGAAAGATTTGCAACCATTTTTAAGAAGGTAGATGATTGGTTTTATAAAAAAAAAAAAAAAATGGTCACATTGCAACCCCAATTTATGCCTTTTGGTTGCAACTGATAATGCAAGTCCTTTAAGGGCCAATTTCTCTCATCCTTGATGAGTACTGAATTTTTCTTTTTCTTTTTAAATTAGATGAATCATTTCATTTTATTGAAATGGATTATTTTCTTCATTTGACATTCAGATCAAGCAAATATGCTTTAGTATTTAAGAAAGCAATGCTTTCTATTAGTAAATGCCAACTATTTTTACAAACCAGCAGCATAAAGCTGGTACTCTTTGGAGGTAGAATAAATGCGTTGGCCTTTTCAAATTGAACTTTTGTACCAAGATTTGAGTACAGTCTAGCCACTCACAACCACATGACTACACAGGTAAATAGTAGTCATCACCACATTAATTTGTTGTAGTCAGTCATGACTATCAACATAAGAATAATAGTTCTTTTTGTTTGATTGTTTTTTCCTACATTATCTACGTTCATTCTATTTGACTCTTTTCTGCTGTCGACTTCGATAAATATCATGAGCAGGGGGTTCCAATAGCTCAGGATTATCTTCATCACTTTCCTCCCCAATCTCAGTTGCTGCTTGTGCCTTCCGTTTCCGAACACCTGTGGCTATTTCTATGGAAATCAATGTCCCAGGATCAATTTTAGATTCTGTTCCATTCTGAATAATGACAGGTTCTAAAAAAGAAAAATATTAATTTATATTAGCAATTATTTAAAAGTTATTCACTTTTATTTAGTCACAGAAATTAAAATCTAATATTTTTTTCATCCAAAATATTAACAGCGATTATTGAGCACATTTAAATAATGCCATACATTATTAATAAAAGAAATTTACATTCTACTTCAGCAAACATAATGTAGTTATAAATAAATGTTTCCATGAACATATATTCAAATAAAGCCCTGTATGTATGTATGTATAAAACTGTATAATACACTTTTACTTTACTGCTGTTTCATAAACTAAAAGAAACTCACCTTCAGGTAAAGTAATGTTGGTAATATGTTTGATGAATTGATCAATGATGACAAATGGTCCCTGCAATCAAAATGACAGCAACACTTTACCTTACATTCACATTTTAAGAACAGGTATATGAAATATACATTTTTAATGTGCTATAATTACTTAAATGAGCAAACTTTACATTTTCAGTTTTCAAATAGTTTATTCTCGTAAAACAAAAGTTTTTGATAAAGAAAACAAGGTTAAGTCTTGGTTATTTGCCATTATCATTTTTAAGTACACACTATAAAAATAGTGGCAGGATTTAAATAATTTTAAAAACATGTCACATTTTAATACTAGAAAAGCCAACATTTATAGAAACTTCATTAGAGCATTACTCTGAAAATTATAGTATCAAAAATATGAACCCCTCCTTGTGTTAGATATCAGTAGTTTGTTGATATTAACACCAGTGGAAAATAAAGGCAGACTCCCTATCTGTCTACTCTAATCTTACTGGCAACCAAGTCCGAAAGAACTTTAGAGTATTAGACCATGAGACACAGATTTGAATCTCACCAGGGTCAATTTGCACAAGGAGGTGTCTTATTGATATCATTCTGGGGAGACAATCCTAGCATGAAACAACATTGGGAAGTGCCTGAAAACAACACCATGGGTGGACCCAAAATTTGTGAATGAATGTGGGTAGACAAAACTGTTCAGAACATCAATAACATCCTAACAGGTTTTGAGTGTACTAGACTTGTTCTTGCTCACACTATTGATCATGCCAGATTGTGCATTCTTTAAAAGAAACTCTAAATAAGGTCAGCTTAGCATAGTTGCAGTATAAACCAAAGGTTGGCTCTACAGATGTTTGACAAAAGTGTCAGTAACAGAGATTAGTTAGCAAGCCTAGTAGATAGACAAACTTCCAAACAAATAGCAGACACACAATCTCTAATTATTTCCAATCATGGCAAAGTTGTTTAACTTGCCTGAAAGAGAAAGGTGTCTCAAGTCTGTGGAAATTGTCAGCTTTTTGTACCTTTTCAAGAATACCAATGAATGTTCATCCCCATCACAATATCTCCCCATCAGCCTCAGTGTCATTAATAAACTCTTTGTATCTATTATCAACAAGGAGATAGTTGACTACTTTATCAGAAACAACCCCTTGAGTGACAAACAGTATGGGTACACTCCTCTAAGTCTACTGCTGATGTTTAAACTATCATCATCCAAAAAAATCAATGAAACACTTGGTGGTAGTTGTATCACCATAGGGGTTTACTACACAAACTCTTCAACTATGGCATCTCTGAATAGGTTTACACTATCAAATCCTTTCTCTAAGGTAGGTCAATGAATGAAAGTCATCATGAATAACCAGTCTTCTGAAGCTCAGAAGATCAATGCAGACATCCCCCATAGTTCTTTCTTACCCTAAAGTTCTCTTCTATCCTCTTTCTACATTTTATTAAAGATCTGTTTAGAAACATTCTCAAATTGTTGGTAAATATCTATGCAGATGATACCACAATTTAAGGAAGAACCTCAAAGAATAAAGATAATCTCAAACAGTTCAACGAGGAAAAAACTGGCTTGTAACTTTCAACACCTTAAAAGACAAGCTAGTATGGTTTCATCATTACCAATCAGACTCCGAGTTTTCTCCAGTCACATTGAACAGTTGCATTCTCAGTGAGGCCCCATGCTTTAAAAATCTATTGTGTCTCAAGTTTGCTCCAGCTTTCAAGTGAAATTCATATGATTCATTGTTGAAGATGGTGGAAAAAAAACGGTTCATTCTGTCAATTCAGGTAGTACCTACTTATTTTGTCATGCTTTATCTTTACAAGATTAGACCAAAAATTGAGTATTGCTGCCATTTTTGAGCTGGAGCTACTCAATCCTCACTTTGCAGCCTTGATAGAGTTCAAAATTGTTTATGTGGTATTATGGGGAAGACTTATTCTCCACTTGGCAACCTCTCTTCCATAGATGCAACATCACAAGCCTATTGCTACTCTATCATTACTTCCATAACAAATGCTCAGATGAGCTCCATTTTTTAGTTCTACCAGTTTAGGCCTTTACTGCTAAGATACATCCACAGAATCAAAACACACTCATTTCTTCTGTAATCCAATTGTAAAGAATAAGTTCTATTCAGACAGCTTTTCCCACAAGAATTGCTACTTTGCAGAAGAGAATTCTGCATGAATGCTCCATGAACACTATAACCTTAACCTATTCAATTTATGGGTCAGTCATTATCGATACTCCTTAGCCTCAATCTTCACTTCCTATCACCTCCTCTTTCACTTATTCATAACAATTTTAACATTAGCACACTACTTTGAGTGGCTCTTGTATTGAGTCAACTATAGTATGATAAAGAAAACTATAAAACTATAGTTTTATTTTTTAATTTCTTATTTTAAGTCCTTGTCATATACAGTAAATTGAACTTATGATGAAATAATGTACTAAAACTTATTTAATAGGTGAAAGAAAAAAAAATCATAAAATCCTTTGCATTGCATTAAAATAAATTATAGTAAGAATGAATAACCATATTGATATTTAATTAGTATAGATCTTAGCACAGTGCCTAATGTAGAAAGGTTGTTTTTCAGCATATTTTCAAGTGATGAGGTCATGCTTGTCTTGAAAAAAATCAGTACTTGAGAGCTCACTTTTTATTTGGACTCAAACACTTATGCCAGCCAGAATATACGATGACATCAGCTAAAAATCAGGCTCCAATTACCATATTTAAGTTCAAAGTTTGTGTACATGAATAATATATCTCTTGAGATATATTTTTAAAATTGAGTGTACTTACATGAAAGCAGTCTGGTGGTGGCAGGAGTGTGAGGAGGTGAGAGGCAGCAGGCGGTGGTGGAAACACTCCACCTGGCATTGGATGGGCTCCAGATGCTACAAGATAAAAAAATGAAAATCATTCTAAGTGACATTAGGACAATACAGAAATGATTAATTTTATGACAAATCTTAGTAGATTTAGTAATTATGCATACCAAAAGCTTTTTACAGCTATGCTTTTGGACATTTCTGCATGAATATGCACTAATAAATTATGATAACAATTATTTTTGGATTAATTACACAAAGATAGTATAATTAAAATCAGATACTGCAAAGTAATATTCTCATGTATTACTTACGAGGTAAAAGCCTGGGTTTGTAAGGCAACATTTGTTCTAAGTCAGGTTTAGGGTATTCTGGACGTTTTCGATTATCATCTTCCTCGTTCCAACTGCGTGGTGCACATTCTCCAGCGGACGGCACTGGTACAACATTTTGGGGTGCATAACTCTGAGAAATATAAAAATTCAATTTTTTGTTTTTCAAAGGGTTAAATAGTCGAGCTTTCATTTTCATTAATCCTACAATTCAAATTTGTAATCACGAAAGACACAACATTACAGTAAAAACTATCTCCTATTATTAATGTACACATAATAGCTTTTAAACTAAGCATCTTGCTATGTTGTCACTGATACACTTATATATTTGGCCCAGTGATAAAACATTCGCAGTCAGGAGTGTCAAAATTTTTTTTGTATAAGTTTATCTGAAAACACATTGATTTCAAACAAGATTATAGAGTATTTTTCTAAGCACTTATGTTAAAATTCAGTATACATGGACAGTACAAAATATTTTCTGTCTGTTCAGCATTAACAATTTCTGTAGTTGCTGACATTTTTACAGAATATGTTCCTTTAAATCACAAAGACACAACACAAAAAGTAGTCACTGAGGCAAAGACATTAACAGAATCATCAAATATGTATTGGAAACAAAAAGCTAAAATACTTACTCTATAGCCTAAAGCTTTCAATTCCATTTGGGAACAAGGATAAAGGTCCATATATTTGTATCGGTCAATCAACAAAGCTGTCTCTTTACCTTCAAATTCCTGAAGCTGAAATACAAGTAAAAGTATGATAAAAAAAGAAAAGAAATGTTATATTTAAACAAAAATGTATACCAATTTTTAAAACATTAAAGACAATGAAAATTAAATTTTTCCTTCATTTTAATAAAAAAAAAAGTTAATGGGATAAATAAAAAAATTAAATAACACTAAAAATTAGCATTTTAAAATTATTAATCTATGTTTTGGTGTGAGCAATAAAAATAGCTACTTCAAGATAGAAATATCACATTTGATCTATCTTTCCCTAATTTTCTTATGAAAATAAAATTTCCTTTATTTAAAACTTCATAAGATAATAATGAGTCTATTCCTGAGATTTCCCTTACAGTGTACATTTTTGATAGAAGAGTCAAATAGACAAGTGTATTTGAAATGCTACTGGAATGAATTTACCTGATTAGTAGCTGTAGCTCTCCTTTTTTCCACTTTGAGAATACTGGCTAAATCACCAACTTCAGATTCAAATGCCAAAAAGCGGCTCCAAATTTCACTGTAAATATGAAATAATCACTAAAAACTGAAATCTATTATTAAATTTAATTGCAGTTTCCTCAAAGAGACAATTTTTTTTCTTTGTTTATTTTTGTTACTTAATATTTTACAATTCTTCCTTTTCCTTATATTTTAAATAAGCTTAAAATATATAAATCTTTATATCATACTGACATTTTATTTCTTTTAAGATGGAAGTGGTGTCTACTGAGTGAAAATTACCAAGTTTACATTTAAATAAAATGAAGTAAAAAAAAAGCACAAGGTATGTTTTGAATGATACAATAAATTCATATAGTAAAAAAAAAATGAAAATTCTTGTTATTAAAGAAAAATAATTCACAAATAATAATTATTATTAAATATTTACTCTATGGAAACAAACCTGTTTCCTAAAAATTCATCACTAATTCATAAATAAACAAATATACTCATCTGTCTGTGAAAGGCTAGTTTTAAGTTATGCCCTGACATATGTAAGAAAATCCTGAATAAAAATATTTTGTAAATCCTTAAAACAAACAATCACATTATTTAATGATAGTTTTCCTTATTTCAACATGTATCTACAATCTTCATATTTCAATTCTTATTTCTATATTTGGTTATTTGAAAAGACTTTATAAACAAAGTTTATTAAAATTTATAAAACTATGATTCTATATTTTCCTTCATTTCTTTTACTTTTTAAGTCATAAAATATTTGTCAAATGTAAATTAGTATTTTATTCAAATCTTACCTTGATTTTTCAGGAGGAATTTGACCAGATGATAGAACTCTTTCATAAAGAACCCGTGTATTGTTATCCTCTATAAAACAAAGAAGTTGCAAGTAAAAGATAGCTTTACAGTTATTACTGGATATTATCAAACACAATTATCATGGTAAGTAATTCAAAGGAGAATGCTTCCTGTATTTATTAAAAAAAAGTATTTCTATAATCTTTCAAATCAAAATAAACTGTAACAAACTTTTGAAACTTCAAGTTACACATAAAATTATAAAATTCCAATAACCAGTTTTCAAATAGTTTTTTTCTAAAATTTTTCAGCTCTTATTTAATTTCAAATTAATCATGAGTTTTCAAATTTAAACACAAGTGAGTCCAAACAGAAAGACATTTTCCTGAAAGATCTTAAGTGTATATGTGTGTAATTAATTGACACAGGTAAAAATAAAATAAAAAAAGAAACACAGATCACATCACAATTATTTTGCAAAATCCTTTTCTCACAAGACTACTTAAAACTATATCCTTTTAATTATATATATATATATATATATATATATATATATATATATATATATATATATATTCACAAGAGAAACTAGTCAGTATGCTTAATTTCAAGCCATGACTGCTGGAGATAAGTTTTAAAGTTTCAATATTTTTAATAATTACATTTCTTTCATAAAAAAAAATTAATTTAGAACTATACTTTACTGCAACGGCAATATTGTAACATTTTATTACAATGACTATTTATTGCTATGAACATTACATCATATTTTCTTCTTTTCAAAGGTAACATAAAATTGGAATGAATATCTTAGTATACCTATTTACTTTGTATACATGTATTGTCTTTGCTTAATAAATATTTTTATTTGTTGAATTGAATAATTCATTCTTCATGTATTATGAATTTTCTCCAGATATACTCAACCATTTTTCACACACATGTTTATATGCTAACATGCAGTACATAACTTCCAATATTTTTTCAAAAAGTTATGTAACAAACTAAAATTCTGGTAATATTATTTGGTCTCTGGAATTCATGGAGGTTAAAGAGTTTAATTTCTAATATCAATTACAGAAGTGAACCCCAAGTAAACTACATTCAGCCCTCATAACCAGCACCATAAACACAACCAGAATATATCACAGTTATGAAATATTATAGTTAATTGTTTATTTATTCATTTTAATCATATTGTTTTACATTCTTTTATAATTATGAACAATATTCAAAACAAAATTGATGAATGTTTAAAAATGCACTTAAGTTGACCCCCATTCAAGATATAGGAATTTTATCTTAACAAGCAAAGAAAATATATATCAGGTATAATATTTCCATTTTTTAGACAATACAGAACTCAAATATTTATCCATTAATAGAAAAAATAATTGTACTCAACTTAAGTTATTCTAAGACAAACAATAGTTGTCCTAGCAAGGATGATAATAATAATTATTATGAGGTATTCTAATAAAAGTCATAATGAATGCTACAATGCATAAAATAATACATACCATTCAAATGTGACATAAAGTCTACATAAGCAAGGACATAATCTGGAATATCTCCATATTTCTTTAATCCCAATTCAAATATTTTTAATGCAACAGTTTTTTCCTGAAAAAATATCAATAATGTACTTTTGTTTGAATCTTAATTTTAAATTCTTATACTTAACGTTATAAAATATAACCAAAAATTTAAATGATATTCTTAATTTCTAAAAAGATATTAAACTATTAATTGAATACAAATAGTTTTACTTTGTTATAATGTGACTGTTAAGATCTGTAAAATATGATGGTAAAAATGTGGAGTTCTTCTAAATTGGAGTTCCAAGAAAATTTTAATAAAATTAATATAAGAAAAATATTAGCAAAAATAAAAAATCTTGCTCCATTATATATGATATATATATATATCTGAATTTGTGTAAAAGCAAAGTATGCTGGTATTGCATTAAATCATCAGATTATTAAGAAACAGAGTAGTAAGTATATAACATTTATAAAATTTGTGTTTGAGTTAGGGTATGGCTGAAACAAGAATTTGTTCACATTGATATTCATTTTTATTTTTAAAGTGTTTATTGGTATATAACAATATTTAGATAAAATTAAATGTTGGAGACTTCAAAAAATCCTTTTATTCAGATACACTAAAAATGATAAAAGCAAATAAAAACTTTTTAAAAATTGTATTATAGAATCTTCCAAATTAAAAAAGCTCTCCCACTGGATTTACAAAGAAATTCTTGCTGCATACACTTGGTTCAGAAAAGATATGGCAACCCCATTGAATATACTAAGAATAAGAAGAAGAAAAAAAAACAACAAAACAAGCAAAATTCCGTCAGTACCAATTAGTGAACTGGGAGAAGCCCAATGCGAAATGCCATCATGAGTAAATGGTTTCAGGAGGTGTGACTCATGGGTCAAAGGCATGTGCTTGTTTTCATCACAGGTAGTTCAAAATTTTCTCAATCAGGGTCATTTGGTACAGATGGCAAATGACAGCTTTCGATCTCAGATTTGGCTTGCTTTAGAACACAGCTCAAATCAGGTGGTAAGCTCAATCCAAGGCTAAATACAGGGGTCAGTCCAATAGTCAACAGGTATTATGTGAGATAGTTGAAAAGAATTTTACAGATAAAGTTTGAGAGAAATGAGGTACTGTTCTTAATTTTTATGATTCAATAATAAAATTTTAACACACTGCATTGAAAAGAAAAAAATTTAAAAATATCTAATTGTTGCATTATCTGGAATTTTATTTTGAAAATCATAGTGCAAAATTGATGTATTTACTGTACAAACCAAAAGGAAAGCATTGAACATTTTTTAAACATGTTAACTAAAAAGAGTTATTGTTTACAAATTTCTATTTTATCTCTAAAAACAAAGCAATTAAAATAAAACAATAAAAGTTTTTGCTCATTCTACTAACCTTGCTACAGTAATATTCAGTCAATGCTGCAGACACATAAACATGGAAGCGTGTTCGTGTATCTTCTCGGGCCATTTTGAACACTAATCTGGCAGCTTTAATACCTTCTGCTCGTCGAGCAAATTTCATGTACTGGATGTAGGCCTGTAAAAAGCAGAATTCAACTCATCTATTCAATATTGTGACAAAAAATGCTTGTCAATATGAATGAACACTGAGTATTCAGTGTTATTTTATTTCTAAACAAGATGTAAATAATGTGTGGAAATAAGTTTTATCTCTCAATAACATTACAAATACTGAGAATAGAAATGAATGACACTCCTATATATGATTTCCAGATGTGAAATTTGTTTACAGCCAGATGAGTTTAGCTAACAATAAGCAATTATATGGAATTAAATGATACAATAAAGCAAAATATAGAACAAATAATATTTTTCTATCATTTGTATCTTTCTTCACTAATAAGTATCATATTGATAAACAACTTAAAAATGAATGAAGCTAGAATTAAACCATTATTAATAAATATATAATTTGTAAAACCAATTTCATTGAATTATAATAAATTTTCAGGAAGATATGCTACAGAACTTAAACTTTATCTTTCTAAGTAGAAAGCAATTTCTCAAAAAAAAATTCTGTAATAAATAAATGTGATCTAAAGAAAACAAGTCTTACTAAAGTTGGATCAATTTCTTGTATGGCTAGGAGACGTTTGTAGATAGAGTGGACTTTATCATTCTTCATTCGACTCTGAAAATAATAATAGCAAAAAATGTTCATAAAAAAAATCTTAAAATATTCAAGACTAAATTGATGATGATAGCTGTATTAATGATAGACAAGAAAATATCTTAGATGATGCAAGGTTAATAGGCAAAAATAAAAAAGTATTACAGTTACCAGTTCTAAAACTTTAAATTTAAAATTTAGACATATTATTTTTATCAAAAGATGACTGTATATCTCAATGGAGGAAAAATATAATAAAAGCAATCTTAAAAATATTTATATGCAAAAATTTAAAATAATAATATATCATTTTTAAGTTAGTGAAAAAGTTTTTCTATTAAAAGTTCTCTTGAGATTATGAATGAAAAACCTAACTGCAATTTAAGAAGGAAAATGTATATAAGATTGTATTACTACATCAACTATTATCAAGAAATTCATCATTCAAAACTTTTGAACAGCAAACAATAAAACACCAACTCAAGAGGCTATTATTACTTTTAAAATTCACAACAGTTTCTAACTATACTAGATTAAAGAAACAAAAGCTGGGAAATACATTTCAAATAGTAGATATACAAAGGTCAAGTTACCTCTTCAAAATCTGCATATGCAAAATACAACAGCATATTTGTTTTTAAAAGTGTGGTGATAGCTCGTTCATAAATGGTAGCTGCTTCATCTGCAAATAATTTACCAGCATTTTGATCCTATAAATACAAAATGAACAAAAGTAAATTCTTTGTTGTTGAACATCATATATAATCAAACATTATGCAATGCTTAAATTATAAAAATATAGTAGTTTAAAGCTTGCAAGTAAAATTTGTTTGTAAGCCAAATGGATAAACAGTGTGAATGATACTTAAAAATAACATATAGTTTCATACAAAAGCTAGGAATGCTACATATATTTTAATTTCACATATTGTAAGAGTAAAAATTATTATAAAATATTAGTTTTACTAATCTTACTTATTATAAAACGCAGATTGTGTGTGTGTGTGTGTGTGTGTCTGTACATTTATATATTGGATCGGATTTCCTACATTTTTCAACTGATTTCAACAAAACTTCACAGGACTACATAAAATTACCTTGCGGTGGTTCTGATAGTGCCAAAAATTGGAAAAACACAATTGTTTTTGCATGAAATCAATTTGAAAACACGATTAAAAAGCATTAATGAAAGGGGGACAACTCATATCGAGTTATACTTATAAAACCCAGGTTGGTTGTTTGTGTGTGTGTTCATTTATATATGGGATCGGATTTCCTACATTTTTCAACTGATTTCAACAAAACTTCACTTTTTTTTGGCAGGTAGTGTTCTTATTGTCTTGCACACTTTTTTTTTTTATTTTTACATTCAGAATGCTTTAAAATTCCATTTACAAGACAATTGTTTATAATAAAATTCTATTCAATCGGCAGAGACTCATAATGATTGAAAACAATGCTTTTGTTTGAGTTTGGGTTTGACCAATTCGTAAAAAAACAAAACAAAAAAATAAAACTAATTAAGACATGCTTGTCCGTCAACCTTAAACAATAATCTTTGTCAATTTTATTTTTCAGTCTTTATGATGGTCGATACTTGATCTATCTGTTACTGTTACATCCCCGGGCTCTACTGCTAGTGTTTTAATGAATTTTAAAAATTAAAATTTAAAAAAAAAATAACTGATGGAATCTTGATTTAAATGAAAAGTATTAAATAAATCAACATTAGGATAAAGTAAAATTTGAATACTAAAATTTATCAGTCTTTGAAAGCATATAGTCAATGAAGTTCATATTGTAAAGAAAAATTAAAAGCATTGAAATTACTTTTTTCTTGTTAATTAATTTTTTAATCATTTAGCAAAGGGAGAGGAAAATCAGTCCAAGGGAATCAACCCAAATTATTATCGTACAGAAATCAAATAAAATTCTGAAAATGGGCTGCTGCTTCAGTTGGATAAATATATTCACAATGAAGAAAAATTTAAAGGAAATATGCCTTTTCTGGCACTCTTAGATAAATGAATTAAATTATATTGAATAATAATAAGAGTATTGCCAAGATGTACAAAATTAATTATTTTTAGCAATAACAATTTAAGTAAGATTCAAAATGAAACGTAAGACTATAAAATGAGCACGAGTAGACTTACTCCTTTTTCAGTTAACAATTTGCTGCTTTGTTCCAGGAAGGAGGCAGCTTCATACCAAATATCAGGATGATGACCCAGGCAGAGAAGGCACTGTTCATAAGCAAACATGACTGTAGAGAAACAAAAGTGTGTTGTAATTAGTAGAAAAAAGAAAACTATATCAATAGGGAAGCGTTTTTAAAAGTAACATACATTTGATGCATATGCTATCAAATATTCAGATACTATTTAAATATATTTTAGCAAAAGGTGCAAGATAAATATCATAAAATTTTGAATATGTTTATATAAACAAATAATATTAAACATTTAGTATTAGAGAATTCTACATCATATATATGCATTTCAAATTTAATCAAACAGAAAATATTTACCTCTTCTTGTAATCAAAGCATGATCTTCTGTTCTTAATGGATTACCTTTCTCCCAAGCAATATATCTCTTCCACAGCTCAACCTAAAATATTTACAAAAATATTAATATGAAAAATGAGAACTTATTCCAATCTGCATATATAAAGTAGTTACAAAGAAGTGAACAATTCTAAATAAATTCTTGTCTTTACATTCACAAATTAGAAAAAAATGTTACAAAATACTTCTGGTGTCAAAAACAAAACCATAACATACCTGTTTGGCTTCTTCTGGTGTATTTTGGGGAGGCACAGACGGTGCATTACGGTTAAGTCCCCGAGTTACTGCTTCATATTCTTTTGCTACTCTTCTTGCATTCATGTAGTCACGACCTCGATCCTCAGACATTTTCTTGGCTATCAGTGGATTAATATTCTGGAATACAGATAAATCTCTTCAATTTCCTCTTCCTAATAAATAAGCCTTAAATATCATGAAGCTTTTATCATCAGTTATTACTACTGATGATAAGGCAGATGAAGTTAGTGCATAAAATTGAAGTTCCTATAACCATTTATCTCAAATGGGCAAATATGATGAAAGAACATTTTCAGTGTTTTAGAAATTGGTTTGAAATATTCTCAAAATTTTATTCTTTTCTGGTTACCTTCAAAAGATAAATACCACACTTGCTAACCAAAAGGATAATTAAAGTGAAATACTTACAGTTTCATACTGATTGTAATCCTTCCATAATAGTTCAATATTGATCATTGGGTTCACTACACCACGTTGATAAACTTTTCTCACGGCAGTTATACGCTGATTTTCAGCATAAGACCCAACAGCATCTCTAGAGAGAGAAAAATTGAATGATAATTTTAAAACTAATTTAGAAAGAATGTTCATTGGAAAACTGTAACAACAGATTAAATCTACAGCAATAAAAGTATTCCATGAAATAATAAATGCTAAAAGAATACTTTCTTTATAGAGTAATAGATTAAGAATATTCACCACCTGCCAATTATTAAATTTAAGACATTGGATAGTTCTGAAAACAAGATTTGAAGTTATTCAATACATTTGGTTTAATAAGAATTGACACTTCATCTTAGACAAGAAAAAATAATTTTTGTCTTTTACTGTCCACAATGTCAGGTTTTATTATGCAAGGCAATTTTTGTACAATAAAATTGATAACCAACCTACATTGGTATAATTTTCAGGACATACATGAGCAATATAATATCTATCCTTATTTAAAATATTGATAATTTGATATTTTGTGGAGATGTCAGGTTTTATTATGTAAACAAAGTGCAACATTTATTTTCTTTATAAAATAAATCTAAAAGATATAGAAAATAGAAGCATAATTATTGGATTAATATTTGGAGAAGCTGAAAGCTCATTCTTTTAATTTGGTGTCTTTGAAATTATTCTTTTAGCAAAGTGGGCAGTAGGGGTTAGGGTCAGCTTTGCATAATTTAAAGGAGTCTTGCATGAATATACTCTTTAGCTGAAAATTTATTAATTGTGACCTATTTCTAAAATAGATATTATAAGCTAAAATTTAGATGGTATATTTATCATATAAACATACACTGAAAATTTTACCAACATCAGTTGGTTAATATAGTTAAAATAGTCTTTATTGTGAAAACATTGACTTGCATAAGGTTTGCCATAGATTAAGTGTCTAGTAATACAAAACTAGATTTTTTTCTTATTTCTAATTGACCTGTTTATCTAATTAAATCTCTAATCAGTTTATTAAATATTTGTTAAACAAAGAAAAGAATTTCCACAAATAATAATTACTGATGTTACTACTTTTAACTCCTGATTAGATGATACAAGCTATGCTGCCATAATTTCCAAATCATTAGAATAATGCATTTATTCAAAATTCTTTTAGTACATAACTACAAATACTTTATTATGAAGAAAAGAGAATGTAACCATAAGCAAAGGTTAATTTTGAATGATGATTCTGGTAACTTTTATCCTGAGTAATCTTAGGTCATCTTGATGGTAAAAATAGGCATAATGTGTTTATATTATGCCTATTTTACCATCAAGATGACCTAAGATTACCCAGGATAAAATAGCTACCAGAATCATAATTCAAAATGCTTGCTTATTCATGGTAATCATTTAATTCAATAACAGAAAAGAATATAAAAATGAAAACATGAAGTTCAAACTGAGTTTAATTACTACTGCTTTTTTAATGAATAAAGTCAACATCACTGTACATCCAAATTAGATTTAATTTTACATTACAAAAAATAAATAAAATAAAATCAGGATTAATAAAGTAGAATTAGTTGTAAAACATAAAATATTACCTTTGTATTTACAATTAAATACACTAAAATCAAATTACTTACACTGATTTAAGAAAATTAATGTAATCCACCCATACTTGGTAAGACATGATGTCCATACCAACTTTATCTAAGGCAAAATCATAGGCTTGGGCCATTTTCTCTCTATGAAAAAAAGAAAAGATAAATTATAATCAAATTACAAAATTATTATATACAGAGTTCTCCTCTCCCCCAATGTATACATACTTTTACAACCCTATAACTCACTAAATTTTTGTTATTTTCTATCTGTCACTGATTTAAGATAATGGCTGAAATAAACTAAGCTTTGAGGAAGAAAAATTTACCTTAAAATGCTACTGGAAGTGCAAGAACTTAGAAGAGAGTTTCAATCAGATTCAACAGTGTAACTCATATTAGAAATGTTTCTGGGGCAGAAGGAACTATTCAAGATGTCCACAGGCCCCACAAAAGACAGACTGCTAGAACTTTGTCTGTGAGATAGACACTAATTTTGAAATACTTCTCACATTTTGGAGCATGACCACTGGAAAAGTTTTATGCCAGCATCCTCAATGAAGATGATCCAGACTGATAGGATATGAGGAAAATCACCCAAATAAATGGATCAGACAAAAAGGTAGCATTGAATACTTTCCACTTTCATCAGATCCCATGCCACAGTACTTTTATTTTTTAAGGAGACATCTCAAAGATGAGGTTTATTCTAAAATATCAGCAGCAATAAATGAAATGAAAGCAGCCATTGAAAAAGAATACTAAGTGAATTGATTGATGATGCATGCAATTCCAATAGTCTATATTGTCAGTAGAATAGAACAGCCTTCATTTTTAAACACTTGCAAGAACTCAAAAGGGCTTTACATTTGTCTTAAGCTATGAAACTTAGATGTATCTTAATGGATATTGTATTAATAAACATTCACAGTGTGCATCCATTTTGGGGAAACACTCTACAATACTAAACTGAAAAATTGTAAATTATTCATTTTTAAGGATTTATTTTTTCCAAAATCTTATTAAAAAATATCATATTGAAATTATCTTGACACTGACACATCCAAGAAATTATTAGAGGAAATGTTTAATGTATAATACTGTCTCTTTAAACATAATCAATGACAAATGTAAAAGAGATTTAATAGCAGATACTTGATCCAACATATTTAACATATCAAAATTGACTGATCAAATTAATCTCACCTATATGATGGCAGTTTTCCTTTTGTTTCCTTTATATATGACAAATACAGTTTCCACAGATCTATGTTTAGCACTTTCATCAAGCATCGTTGGAATAACTGAAAAGAGATTTACAGCCAATAAAAATTATTAGCAGTTTAAAATGGCAAAATAAAATAGCAATTCTATTGAAAAGTTGATGATATATAAAAAATAATTATTAAATTTCTGTACTGTAAATATACGAATCAATGACTGAAAATGATAAAAAACAATCAAAATCAAACCTTTGAATTTTATTTGCTCAAACTATTTTTTAAATAATAAAATTCTATTTTTAAGCACATATATTTTCACATATGTATCAGATTTTTATGAAATATAAAGAGGCTACAATTTCAATTCAACTTAAAAACAATTTATGAGGGAGAAAATATAATCAGTAAAAACAATTTTCTGCGAAACTTACTTTCTCAACTCTTTCATAATTTTTGGCCTTCATCTGTTAAAAATAAAAGAAAGATTAATGTAAAAATATATTTTGACAAAAGAGGTCTTTCAAAGAACAAATATGTAAACACCATTCATCTTAATGACGTCAACTGAAAACAATTCTAACCATTACAACAAATTCAATAACAAAGATTTAACTAATTCTGAACATTCATTAGGATATCAAAAGTATAAATGAATCCATTTGACTATAATTGCTGATTTGGTGATCAATGATTTCCTTTTTTTTTCTGTAATTTTTAGCTGATAACATGAACTAAAATTTTCATAAATCATGCAGATAAAAAAAACTTGAAAAGAGTTATAAATTTAAATGTTAACTATGAAAAATGAAAATAGCAGGTTTTGTAACTGGACTTATTGTAAGAGTTATCAAAATTGAAACTAAAGAAAAATAGATATTTGTAGAGCAAGTCTATATTTTTACTTCTGATTTCAGATTTGACAGATTGCATACTCAAATACAATTCTTGTTTTGTAAACTAAAATCAAAATTGTGGCTTATTGGAAAAGACATATCTAATAATAGATGCTCGAGGTGTGTGCAAAAATGACTTTTTTTTTTTGTTTCTTTCACCCATTGGAGTTGGCATTTATGTAACATCAGGTTTCCGTTGACAGGTGAGTGTCTTCATGGAAAATGAAAACACAGCACCTAGTGGAAATTTGAGTTAATGACTGTTTAGTCAGAGTCATGATATTTATCTGTCATAAGTTAAAAAAAAATGTATGTGGGTATCAAAACAGTCTCAGGAACTTTTATGATTGGTTCAAAAATAAATTGGACTTTAGCTCCAATTTTAGGATTATCTTCAGTGATGTTTCAATTTCACAAGATTACCGAAAATTACCTCCATCATTCAATTTCTTGCCTCCATAGTTTAAAGATATTAAAAAAATAATTTCATATGCATTAGAAATGGTTCATTATTTTCAGGTATGCTACTGTCATTGATCTACAAGGTGCAATGGATAGACTGTTGTCTAAATTACACAAAAATTAAAATAATACTGATATCTCATTTTAACGGATATATTTACTAAAATTACACAAAAATGTCTTGCAATACTAAAGAGTAAATTTATTCACTGAAATCGCCATTGGTTTCAACCACAGCCTCCAGTCAACTTTGGAATCTCCTGCAACTCTTCTGGACAGTCTCCTTGTTTAAGTTGGTGAAAGCTGCCATAAACCTTGCCTTTAGTTCATCTTTAGTGTTACAAGGAGTTTTGTTGGTCTCTTGCTCAACTGCACCCCACATCTAATAAAGGGGGTTGTGGTCTGGAGAGTTAGGTGGCTAGATGTAAGGAGTGATGTGGTCACAAAAATTATCAGACAGCCATTACTGGTTTCTCTTGTCTATGTGGCATGGTGCAAAGTCCTGTTACCAGACATAGGGTCCTCCAGGAGCCAAACTCTTGAGCCAAGGCAGCACTACATCCTCAAGGCACTTCAAAGTATCTTTTTTTATGCTTTTATAACTTACTTTGTTATGCCAATTTAAATTAGAATTTATATAATTTGTGGTAGGATTTATAATTTTTCAATAATATCCTAAAAATAAAGCATTAAAGACTTAATATTCATAATAGAATAATCAACTTATTCTCTAAACCATTAATAAATAAATACTGCATAGAAATGTTCTGAAAATAAAAGAGTTGATAGACATTGATGCACATCTAGTATATGCTGTATATTCAGAACAGAATAATTTAGAAACTACAAAAAAATATTACTTTTTCCTGTTAAAATGTAAAGACCCATTTTTTTTTTTTACAATAAACTAACCAAAACAATTCACTACAAAATCATCTCTCAAAAATTATTTTAACCCCTTCCCTTCCAATTATTTTGGGAAAACCATTCATTTTCAGAATTTTTTTTTATTTGTTTTTAATATAGTAACTACGAAACTGATGCACCTTGAAATACCCAAGTGGTGGCTATCACCTCTACCAGAAGTATGAGTTGACAATTGGAATCATTTCAAACTCAGAAGGGCATAAAAAGAATCCATATGAACATATAAACACATCTGTTGCTGGTTTTTGAACGTTATAATTTGGACATGTTTATTTGTCTGTGTCTGAAAAAGATTCTTTCAGTAAAAATGTATATACATGTCTACTCTGGGGAAGGAGTTAAATAATTTCAGCTATGGTTTTTGAAGGAATGAGACAGCAATAATTGATCTTGATAAAATTAGAGAGGATAGTTGTAACAATAGCTGAAGCATCATAATAAGGACAAGTGGAAAATAAGATAAAAACTGTTTCTTATTTTAGCTTAAGCAGACTTTATTTTATTGAATGTAATTTTGAGTATGAAAACATGCTCTTAATTGCAATTTCAATTAATTTTCAGGCCCTCATCAGGAGTTCAATTTACTGAACTTTGACCTTAAGGCATTAAGAAAATAGCTCAGAAAATTACAATAACCAAATAAGTTTCATGCCTACAATATTTTCTATGTGCCATGTCCTGAAGGGACATGGGAGATTATGGCTATCCACAATTTCCTATCCCTCATAGCTCTTAGCAATGTTTGTTTTTATACTATCCCTCCCTCTTCTTGTTGTCATCTATTTACACAAACATTAGGTAGGTTACTCACTGCTTTCATCTGTTCTTCTAGCCTGCAATATGTCCTGTGAGTGTCCAGACCTTTCCAGATCTTCTTTTCCCAGAAATCTCAGCTGTCTCTTTCTGATTATAAGTACAAGTGTCATTTTTCTTTCCATTTTCCTTAAAACTTCCTTGTTGCTTACATTCTTCTCCATCCATGGTTTTATCTTCATCTGTGAGGAAATTGTCCAGCACTCACTGCCACATGGGAGGATTGATATTATATAGCAGTTCAACACTTTTCTTTATTTGTAACAATTTTCTCCTGTTTCTTAATACTTTGTTCAGACTTTTTGGAAGATATATTTTGCTATTCCAAAGCACCTACAGATTTTGGTATCACATCTTCTATCATTTGGTAAAACGCTTCCCAGAATGAACAAAAAGGAACTCTTTACAAAATTATCAAATTATATTTTTGCAGATTTTAAAATATTGAAATTTGCATATTTAATCATCACAATTTTATACATTTCCTTACCATCATAAACACTTCTTCATTATGCAAAACAAAGCTTTAACATGCTGTGTTATTTTTAATAACAATGAAAATGATTCCGTTTACCTAGGGCAGGTGATAAATTATTTTTAATTGGGTCTAATGGAGCATGAATATATTATGACTACTCATGTACAGTAATTAAAAAAAGAAATAATACTAGTTTGTAAAGCAATGAAGAAATCAATAGTTTTATTTCTGTTCAGTGTTAGAGCAATGAACTAAATTATGTGAGAAATGTATTAAAGTTCCTTTTTTTGTAATGGTCAGTCAGCATTGTTAAAACATGTCTATCTCCAATTCTTTTTTACTCAAAACTTAGCTCATTGGATAATTTTTCATTAAAGATTATTAAATTTATCTTATAAATATTTATAGATGATAAATATTCACATTTTACAAACATGTGTAGTTGAGTATTTCAATGTTTATTTACATTCTAAGAGTATAATACTATACTGAAAATAACACAAAAAAACATACTTATATATATAATATTAATTTATCATTCAAATATTGACTGTTTTTTTTTAAGTTAATTATATCCATTTTTTATTATCTTAATTTAAAGATTCTTGTGGGTCTAGTCATGCACAGGTGTGTATTATAGTAGTTGTAAGTGTATACATACTAGCAAATTTTGTATTCAGTAGGAATATGCCTCTTTCCATGTGAATTAAAATTGTGTCAACTATTTAACTCTAGGAGAAGCTATTTATTAAATGTATCTTTCTTTTTATTTATTGATTGAAGTAAACAAGTCAGTGAGTGCATACATTATGATAACTGAGGGAACTGCTGAGTGGTTTCTTTTAAATTACAATCTTTGGATCTACTTAAGACATTGGCTACCAGAGGTCAATTACAAAATCTAACTTCAAATGTCAACATTATAAGAGCCAAGAGGAAATAAAAAAATTTATGGTTTAATTTATAGCATCAACTGAAATCTTGACATTGTTTTCACGCTAAAAGTAACACTGCAAATAAACTTGTTGGTGCCTGCAGATGAAAATGTATCGAAAATGCCAATTATGAGAACTCATAGTCAGTACAAGATAACTCACAGTCAGCATCATAATAAAAATTGCCAACTGCAAGATAACTCGTAGCTGGTAGTCAATGTATTAAAAAACATAGGAAGTTAATATTAGCTTATGTTGTCCAGAGTATAAATCTAAAATACCTGAACAATAAACTTCAACAGTTGATGACACATCTTTGAATACAGGTAGTGTGTTTTTGAGTGTACTTCCAAATCTTATTAAATGCAAGTAAGAGAATTACAAGACCACGTATGTGGAGACACTAGGCTGCAATGAACCAGAATTAATAGAAATTAAACCTTATGTTCCCTAAAGTGAAACTTCAAATTTTCTGGCATAAAATAAATTTAACTATTGTTAATATGACAGTTTATTTCTTCAATCAGAGCTGAGGTTAGCTCAATATAAAGAGTAATGTATTTAATTGTAATTTACTTAAAATTGTAAACATTAAACACATATTGCATAATTCTTTAAAATTTGTACATGAGGGTACTGAAAAGTTTTCAGCCAGACCCACTTGCCCAAACCTTACATAACAAAGCATCAGAATTTTTTAAAATTCCTTCTTAGTCAAGTTGAGAACAATCTGGTATCCACTCATAGAAATTAAAATACTATAAAACATCTGTTAAACTGGAGTTGACTACTGTGATCAAAATGGATGGGAACAGTTTTCCTACTTAAAAAGGAAAACTTGTATATAACATTTCATTGGAATGAGTGTAAAAGACAAATTTTCAATCTGCACTTAAGTGATAAGTATGCAAGTAAAAACAATGTAGTTACAGTTGCAACCAATAATAATCTGTTTT